GAGATCAAGGAATCTAGACAAAACATTTGTTCACATATGTCACAGTTGTTAATAACTTCTAATGTATTATCGTAGCTCTTTTTAGTTCAATACGATTGTTTAAATTACTGATTATTAGATTTAATTAAAATTATTATTAACGAGTCGTGTAGTTCAAACGCATACTCGTCCTGTCGTAGGTAGTTCTAATAAAAGTTTAATCGCAACAATTTCTGACTTTTTTCTTTCTGTACGCGTTTGTTTCTTAAACAATCAAATAAAAACGTATACTTACTTTTATCAATCAACCTCTTGCTCGATTAGGTTTGTAGTTATACATAAAAGAAATATTTTTCGGGCTATTAATATCATCAATATTTGAAAGTTCCCGCAAATATAACTGAATATTAAGAGTTTAGGCAAAGCTTTATTCTTAACATTTTAAACATGTTTATAAAACTATTGTGTAGCTATAATCCCCCCCCCCGAAAAAAAACACCTAGTTGAAATAAAGTATGGTCATATATACCTATGCGTTGAATGCAGTGAATTAATTTATTCACGAAAAAATATATAAATGTACATGTCAACTACAAGAGGGCGTTGCAGCAAAGCTACCTGCTATATACACGTACATACTATATCACAAAATGTATTGAGTTAGAACATCCCCTGCATGGTTTCGATAAATTGTGCTTATGAATCCTACCGTGCACTGCGACAGACAGCCAAGTGAAACTCACGAATCTTCTAAGATGGATGGATAATAGATGCATCATTGACCATATCAGTGTCAAGTGTTCGAGACATTTCATGCAGCCTACTCCATCGATTGTGAATAATGTTCTTGAGAACTGAAAGACCACTGGACGTGGTGACGTGGAATATAGGCCTAGCCGCCCAAACATTTTCACTCCATACGAGATTTGAAACATATTGTAAAAGGAAACTACACATCTGGCATTGAATCCATCATCCAGGAGTTTAACAAAAATCTAGAACTGTGAGTCTGAAACTCTGAATACTCACTTTGCACGGAAAGCTCCCTGTTTCATTGACAGATTGCAGACCATAAGCCGCTCATCATAACCATAAATGCAAAACGCCGGCCTCGTTATGGTTTGAGCGCTAGAATTGGTATGAAGAACAACGAAACACTATCGTATAAAGTGATGAATCTCATTGCTTGTTGATTGTTTTAGGTGAACGGGTCTAGATTTGACAGCAATTTGTAAAGACTACATTTGTGATGAAAATGTAATTCCAACCATGAAAAGTAATGGGGATGTTATCACGATGTAGCCTGTTCAAGGTCATTTGAAACCATTAATGTCTTGGTATATTTTGATACTGTGGCCAAAGCTGCATAGACGGAACTATATGGCATAATACATTGTTTCTTACCGCATATGATGTCCAGCAGTGGTTTGAGACAATGTCCAGAATCTGTCTTGACTAGCCCAGAGCTCCAATCTAATCTTAACTTGTTGTTCTCAAGTATTTTAAAACGTCGCCTTAAAAATAAAAGATTTAAAACTGCTTTGCAAAGGAATAGCGATCTATTCCATAAGAAACACATCAATGGTTAATGTGTCAAAAATGAGCCAGCTCCCTAATAAAATGGCTCTCCAGTGGTTAAACCTTCTCTTTAAGGTGTGTTGTTCCAATACAAGTTATATAAAAAAACCACCAGAGTTAAAATAGTAAACAATATTCATGTTTTCTTTATTTTATTTTGTTCAATCATCAAGTTGCGAATGTTTTACAATCTTATAAGTAGATTCATTCCATTGGTCAGAAAAAAAAGTACAATTTTACTTACAACTTTCCATCATTTTATTTACTTTTTGAAGTAATAATCAATACATTTTTGTTGAAATTACTGCATTTTGAAGATATAGGTGATAACGAACTTGTAATCTCCATAGAACAACCCGTGTCGATAAAACTCAACATAAAATGTTTCCAACTTAAAATAGAAGCATAATAAAGCAAGATAACGTTAAAACACAAAACTTGATAATTGCAGCTCTCTAACCTAAATTATTTCAAATTACTTTCCGTAAAAAGGGTACACATCTAACATTGTGTTCCGCAAGAAGGGTAGTTTTCATTTGTCTTAAAACCCATTACGGAGACGGCAACAAATTAGTTTCTAAAAATATTTAAATAGAAAACTTATTTTTTCATATTTTCTATTGATCAGCAAATAGGGCTAATTTTGAAATCTGTTCAACCAAATGAGAAAGATTGAATTTATAATATTCTTGAAACTTTTTATCACTTTAATGAACATAATCATGGGAAAGATAATTAAACATCCCAGATAATTTTGATTCACGTTAATTCTAATTATTTTTCTGAATGCAAATATAAGACGTCTTTCTAACGATCTTTCCGAACTTTTAAAATCTATTGTTCTAATCAATAACGCTGATTCAAAGCCAGCAGTGTATTATATGTGTTTGCAAAGTTTTATTTTACTATTTTGTAGTAGAAACGTTTCTTTAAAGAAATTCAAAGTTTAATTAAACGACATTTGATTTTTAGAGCAATAGGACGAATCCTAGTAGTTGTGTCTAAAAAGGTTCGAAGCCATAGTGTTGTCCGTAATTATTCACTAACTGATTAAACTGTGTATCAATCCATCTAAAGACTTCAAAATAATCAGCTTTAATTATCTTACGTAAAAGAACAAATCAACGTGGAAATCCTGATCTGATACAAAACTTACTAATATTATAAGTATATAGACTTGCATCCCTTTTCAATTGTCCCCCGGTGGGACAGCGGTAGGTCTTCGGACTTACAACGCTGAAATCTGCGGTTCGATTCCCCTCGTTGGACACAGCAGATAGCCCGATGTGGCTTTGCTATAACAAAATACGCACCCTTTTCAGTAGCACGATATAACATTGTTTATACAAAACAATTTAAAATCGAACATTTCGTAAAGATTGTATATCAATGATATTGTTTAAACGTCACAAAACCCAACAGATCTCATCTTAAGATTCTCAACCTCCCCTATGCATCCCTCCCGATGTGGGTCAACGGTAACTCTAAAGGTTTATAACGCTTAAAAAAAATGGGTTTCGATACTCGTGGTATGCCTCAACACAGATAGCCCATTGGGCAGCTTTTTGCTTAACAACAAACAAACAAACTTTCTACTAATATTAACTCACGTTTCACATTATCTTGTTTGTTTTGTTTTGTTTTTG